AATCCACACAAAGAGAATCTGGTGGGAAAGATTGAACTGGAAAGCATGGTGATGTATTTGATGTTGGCCCACCTCAGCTCTTGGAATTGATAGGTTACTCACTGTACCACTTTGCGTGCTCACTTGGTCACCTACGTCACAATCCACAACCAATTTTAAGATTTTGTAGCCACCTAGATTATTAAGGACCTGGCTTCTTTCCCTTCCCCTTTTCATACATTTCTATTATTTTTTATTTGTGCGGTCACGGTTAAGTTACGTTAATATTTTATATTATTATTAATTTTTATCTTATTATCTTTATAAAAAAATCAATATAAAATGTTGACGTGTCTTAACCGTGACCACAAAAAATAAGAGGAGATGAGAGTGTATGAGAAGTGGGATGACAGAGAAGCTGGGTTCGTTTATGAATTGTTGCAATTTAATAATTAATATTTATGTTCAACAACCTTTTTCGATAAGTATTACGTTGGTGACAAATGAAAGGGAAAAATCGACTTTTGCAATTGTAAAGTAATTTCTTAAAACAACAAACGTGAGTAAAGTCAATTGATTTTTGAACTATGTCTCGTTTTTAAGTAACCTTTTTTCATACGTATTACATGGCTAAAATTATTTATATTGAAATAATTCAGCCTCTTGCACGCAACTTCTTACTACAGTGGTAAAAATGTGTTGAATTTTTGTATAATGCGTAATTTCAAATTTGGTCAATAATTAATTTAATATATAATTTAACAAAATTTAGCCTTTGATTAAAAAAAATAATAATAATTCGGCCTCTTCTCTTCCAGAATGTGCAGCCAAGCGGCTCACAAATCCTCGTGCTGCGAAGAATACAAATGGAGAAGGTTCTGGAGTATGTGGCTGTTGTCAAACTGAAATGGGTTTAGTCAATCCTCCAAAGCCTTGACTTAGCCCAAGCTGAGAAAGGATTAAAAAAATGGGCTAAGCCCACATACAATGAATTCATATCATTTAGTTTGGTCAATGGAAAAGGCCCTCTTGTTTCTAGAATTATTTTTTCGACAAACGCTAGGGTCGATGGGTTAGCTTTATGTCGGATCATGATTTGCTATGACAGGAGTAAGACAAATAGAAATAAGTATATCTCAGAAGTTCGGTTATGGACCCAACAACATTGATCGGATTGAGCTAATCAAACGGATCAGCGATGCTACCACACCCTGTTGTGTTCCGGAAAAGGTAGGCGAAGTCATCCAACTTCGTTGAGATCGACCATTCTTGTTCCGTAAGACACGAAAACCTGATTCGATTGAGGATCATATTAGTTTCCACTATTCTTAGAGATTCCTACAATCTAGAGATTGACGTGAGTTGCAAGTAATCACACTCTAACGAGAACACAATATCTACTCCTAGATATCCTATGGAATTCTCCTGTTTAATCCAAATTTTATATCTAAAAAGACTATCTCGACTAGTATAAATACACTTGTATAGGGTTCATGCTTGAATCTCATAAATTGCTTACTAACTTGATCGTCAGAGAGCTTTTGGCCACTACCCGCCCGGCACCAAGGTCAATCCGGATTGTTTGCTTTCTTTTCATGTGCCCTGAGTTGTGTGTCACATCCGCCCACAACTTTACGCAATTTTGATTCCAACAATTGATATAATTTGCATTTTTTTTCTTAGTTTAGAGTGAATAATTATTTGGTAACGCAATATTCAATTTCCACTATCTTCCAAGAAGTATGGAAATTAATTTTTGGAAAAAAACATTATCTGAATGTAAGGTCCCTCGTTCTAGTTTTCTTTTAATAGTAATACTTTTTTTTTTTTTGGGAAACTAGATAAACAAACCAGGACACAAAATCAGAAAGGTACAAAGAAAGCCAACAACAAGGCCAACACACAAACCACAAACACAAACAAGGCAACAAAAGGGGATAAAAGAAAGACACAAGAACCAAGTTCCAATGTCTCCCCTTCCACTACCACAACAAAAAAACATCAAGGGGGACAAGGTAATCCATCTATATTCAGCACATGAACCAAAGAAGTAGTAGTAGCGGAAGCCCAAAGACACATAACACTATTTTGATTTGCACAGTCTCTAAATAGGAGTAAAATTTTCATCTCTTTCTACGTCAATGATAAAAGTTGATAGGTTTTGGAGTGTGTTATTCATACATCATTTTTTACTTCTCACACACAGTATTAATTTGTGATTGTCGGATCGGATGAATTGAAGAAAATCAAATGATATAAATTAACAAGAGGTGAGAGAAGTAAAAAAGTGTGTGAATACCACATCCTTTTAGTTATACATGTGTCAAATTTTTAGTGAACCAGTACCACCACTCAATATTATCATCTGACTCTATCACCTCATGTATTTTTTTACACAATGTTTTATAATTTTGGTATAATAATTGACGATAAAAAGTAAGATGACAAAAAGTCACACTTTTTAAACCGTTTCCTTAGCATTCCTCAATTTTGATATTCCTCAAAACTAACAAAATTCCAACTTAATTAGCTAGATAAAATAAAAATTATAGTTCAATTAATCATCACATTCATATTCCCCCAAATCGAAGCAAATAAACAAACCCAGAAAAAAAAAATAAAAAAAGAAAAAAGAAAAAAAGCAAACTGTGTTCTAATTTTTTCTTTTCTTTTCCGAGTTCAACTAATTAATCAAATGGGGTAAAACTAAAGGGTACACTCCCTGTGGAGCCGCCGCACCGGAGCACACGAGGGGCACTTAACCAAACCGTTGATGTTGCATACCGTACAAGGAGTAAATCCAATCTTCTCATGATAGACCTTATGGCTCCCATCACACGTCTGACAGAGAACAAATCTCAGCCCTCCACAGAAATCGCACGCTCTGGGGTCCACCACTGGCAGCCGTTGGATCAACCTCTTCAGTTGCCCGCTCTCGTGGAGCTGTTTGACCTCCTCGACCCCACCAATGAAGAGCCCGCCAATGAAAACCATCGGCAGAGTCAAAGTCTTGTTCCCCGTGATCGCCTGCAGCTCGTCCAGGAACTTCCCGTCCATAGACAGATCTCGCTCGTCGATCGGGACGCGAAATCCGCGGAGGATGGATCGGACGGTTTTACAGTCCTCGAATGTCCTGCGCACGACGCGGAGGCTGGTGTGGTAGATGACCACGCGCTGGTCGGCGTCTGGTGGATTCGCGTTTCGGTGGGCCCACAAGCGAAGGGCTGAGGTGGATATTTTGACCCGGTGCAAAATGGACGCGCTCCGCGGGCTTAGGACCTCGGATGCAGGTTCGGGTTCACAGAGGTTTTGGATGTCTTTGAAAGATGAGCAGGAAAAGCTCCTCTGTGACCGCGCTGGTTTGGTTGTGTGCACCCTGCTTGGTGATTTCAGCCATGGTGACCACATGGAGAGAGAGAGAGAGAGAGAGAGAGAAGAGTGTTCTAGTGACTAGTGAAACTTTGGTGGGTCTCCAATGGGGGTTATTTATGCAAATCACAATTGTAATTAGGGTGCCCTAATTAGGTATGTGAAGTAAGTATTGGCCCTAGATAAGAACAAAGGATATATTTTGGAATTTCAAAATAATTTTTCTTCAACAAAAATAAATAATTTCAAAGTAGTTTCTGGTCTGGTCAAATTGATATATGTTTACAACTCGGTGCAATGTGTCGGGTGTATCACATAATTGGTCATACAATGTAATACGAGTTGGTTAAAAAAGGGTAATGTAATACAAGTTGGTTAAAAAAGGGTAATGTTAAAGTTACTATATTTATTATTATTTAAACCTTGGATTTTGCTATTGAATATCCCTTAACGTAGAAAAAAGAAATACCACTAGTGTGAAAGATAAAAGAGACGGTAACTTCGTAGTTTTAGCGGTGATTCACAAGGGGTGATTGAAAAACCATCACACATTTGGAGATGACATTTTCACATATGTTTGTTTCATTTTCCATCCTTGGCAATGTTTGAAAATAAGGTTCACTAACTTACCTATGTTTTTCCTTATACATTTCCTTATCTGGTATAAGTATGTGCATGTACCCAATAAAACGTTTTGAGCTTTAAATCCACTTGTAATTTTGAGTTATAACGAGTTTGTTTTTCATCTTCACATTGGCTAATTATTAATAATTTAAAGAATTTAATTTAGAACTAAATTCAATTGATGTTGCACATGATTATTTGGTCTAGCAACGTCTGTTTTTCATTTATATATTTGTTTTCGTTTGTTCATGAAAGTTTGTGAAATCACTATAAAAATTTGGTACCAATAGTTCACGGTCTATTAATATCTATCTTTACTAGTAAGTAACATGTTTTAAATTCGAATCTCATGAATAAAAAATTTGATACAAATTTATTCTCTGCCCCTACCAATAGTGTGAATATATAATTTTATTTAAAAAATATATATCGGTTTAAAAAATGAGACAATTTTGTTAACCAATTAATTCATTTAGGAAAAAAGCTTGAGACGTACTATCAACACCAATCAATCACTTATACAACTTCCATGCGTCCGGTGCAATGTGGTTGAACTTTCACATAAACGGTATGAAATCCAAACAAAATAATTGCAAGTTTTAAAATTCATAATTATGCGTGATTTATATTATTAAAGAGTCACAAAGGTCCCGGTCCATTAAATCTGGATGCAATGAAGTATTTTTACTCACTCGCGCGTGAACATACTGACTCAAAATTTGATTTTATCTATCTTATCTTATGATATCTTCTCATTGAAAATGTTACGATGTCATCTCATTGAAAATGCTACTTCTTCTTTTCCTTTCACATATATTTAGATTAAATTAAATTTTTTTATTTAATTCATTCGATTTGATAGTCGAAAATTAAGATGAATGTGTAAGAAGTATAAATTGATGTGTAGATTGCATTACCTTTTTTTTTCTTCATGTTGTTATCAAATAGGACAGGTGTCAAATGCATAACCTTATTACAGGCTCGGCAGTGGGTTCTGGGCACAACAGATTCTAACTCATCAAACATTTGCGCGCATGAGAGGATAGGACAAAAGTCCCGTGAGTCCCATGACGTGGCTTTTTGGTTGTGGGACCCACAGAATCACGTGATTTCAGCGCTGGTACGCGCCAGCGCAAATGCCAATCTCCTCCTCCTCCCTCCTCCCTCCACCCATAAGCTCCTCCTCTTTCATTCGGATAATCCCACCTTCTCAATCCAGTCCCGTCCAATCCAGTCCAGTCTGTATTCCGATGGATAAAAAACTAGTACAAGTTTCGGAGCAAGAAATTTGTATCGACTTCGCACTCGACTCCAAATGCCGCGCTAACGTGCGCCTTACCTCCCTATGCGCCACCGCCGCCGTAGCCTTCAAGGTCCAAACCTCCTCCCCTCACAAGTTCCTCGTCAAACCGCCCACCGGCTTAATCCCGCCTCTCTCCCACGTCACCTTCCAGGTCATCCTCAAGCCCCAGATCCAGTTCCCGCCCGCCTACCCTCGCTCGCCGTCCGACAAATTCCTTATAAGAACCGCAGAGTTCACCACCGAGTTAACTCACTCCGACTCCATCAACCACTGGTTCTCCAGCTCTTCGTGTCCCCGCGGGTCCACTCACGATATCAAGCTCAAGGTCGCCTTTGTGGGCCCCTTGCTGTTGCGCCACGCCGTCACTTGCGGGGACTACGACGGCGTCAGGAATATAATCAAGCGGCAGAGGACGATTCTCGCCGAGTTGCCGCCGGCGGAAGCTGAGTCGATCCTCCGGATTGCGACCGAGTTGGATAACCCGGAGAACTTGATTAACTTACTGCTCGAAGGGGGATTGAGGATTGACCCGATCAGCGATCAAGTGCATTACGGCGGAGATTCTAAATGTCCATCCAACGGACGCGATGAGCTAGACGTGGCAGGGGCGTGTGATCGACTGGATGATGTTCTGGGACTGAGGGAATCTGAGCCGTTGGATTCTAAGGACAGGGGAAATGGCAGGTGTGCCGAGGTGAGGAAATCTAGTGCGGACCCCACTACAACTATTGGCCACAGCCGTTCGCGCCATGATTTTGTTCATGACAAAGATGTAAGTTGCTTATTTTTTTCGTTTTTATGAAATATGTTTGCTAGGTCTTTCCTAGTGTTACGACTTACCACTACAATAACACGACACAAACATGCACAAAAATTAAGTGTTATGATCAAGCTTTATTGTGTCTAGTTTCTAAAACACCGGTATCGTTGGAAATATCAATATGCAAATTTGTAAAAATATAAATAGATATCTCGATATCGATATTGGTTTCTTAGAAATTTAACAGATACATCAAAAATATTGAAAAAGTCTATTGGTTTTAGCCAAAATTTAAAAGTTTTTCGGATATTATATAAGGTTAGATCTTTGATTATACTTTTTGGATATGTAGAAACTAGAAATGGGAGAACTAATGTTGATGGCAGCGAGAAGAGGTGATTTGAAGAATGTTGAATTGTTGTTACAAAATGGCGCGGATATAAACTGCTGTGACCAATATGGCTTGACAGCCCTGCATGCCGCGGCCATCAAAGGCCACAAGGACGTTGCTCGGGTGCTCATCCGATTTGGGTCGGACTTGGAATCCCAAGACGGTGAAGGGCACGCACCCTTGCACATGGCCGTGGTCGGCGGGAGCTTAGAGACAGTTCAAATCTTGGTTCATGGTGGGGCTAACGTCAATGCCAAGAGCAACGGCGGCGCCACCCCTCTATACATGGCTACTGCTATGGGGTACGATGATATAAGTGAGTTTCTTACCAGCAGAAAACATTAATTTGAACCACATTTACTGATCGCATTGAAGACCTAATACGAGGTGAGTACTCTACCATTCGGAGATAGATATCATAAAACTAGGAAACTTCACTCCTCTGTATTTTTCATTGGAGTGTTGATCCGTACTGTGAATTTGGAGCCAGGGATACTCCACCATCCATTGTCATGATGACATCATTCCCGTCGTTTTTCTTGTTCTGTTTGCAAGATTTCTTGGCCTCCAAGTACTTGGTTTAAGCTTGATTAGGTATAGATGTGCTAATCTGCATTTTATTTGTAATATCTCAAACAGAACAAAAATGAGAGAAGCTTTATCTATGATCGCGTCGATGCTTATTTTGTGAGTCGAAAACAGAACAAAAATGTCGAAAACTTCCTATTTCTATCTTTGTGTTGGTTAATAACTTGGTATATATAATATAAGATTGTACAGGTGAAATTAAGATGAGCAACTCTGTTCATGATTTACTTGCAGCTCTTGATGGACGCCAGAAACCTTTCTTACCGAAAAGAAACTGATCCCGGTAGAGGGCTGTAGACCAGTGAAGCAACTGCAGAATTGGTCTCAGCTTGTCTATCACTTCCATTGTGTCCTGAACCACTAGATATCCACCGGGCCTTAATATGCGATCCATCTCCACCACGACATCTACAATGTCGCATCTGACAAAATCGAAGACTAATATCAACAAAATTGTCGACTGGTGTGCGAAACTAATACTGACATGCTTTCATTAGATGATCTATAGCAATCAAAAGGTCATAAGAGCAGTGAGAAAACATAATGTACCTGTCTGGAAGTTTTTCGAAGAGGAAACTGGAATGCAGCAGATCATATGTTCTAGGGTAGGTATTCAAAGACTCGCACCAGTCATGGTATATTCCGATCAACCCTCTGTCAAAAATAGCTGGAAGAGTATTTGGCAGATGAATGGGAACGATGTTCATTACCCAGAGTTGTTGATCTGTAAGTGCAGCAGCGAATCTGAAACTCACCACCAGAATCTCAATGGCTAAGCAGTTCGATGACAAAACAAAAATGAAAATATGGAAGTACCAACAACTCATTTGCTAAATATGTTTACCCTCCAAAACCAGCATTCATATCCATTACATTCCGCACAGTCGACCAATTTATAGCAGCATTTTTCTGATAGGCATCTGAGACAAGCGCAGTCCAGTGAATGGTGTCCTTGTAGAACATTTCCTCCCCTTCTGGGTCACGTATTAGGCTTGGAGGTTTACTGGTAAGTCTGTTTGGCCACGGCAAGGGCCAGCTATAGCGAGGTAGCGGGGCAAGACATGCAGTGAGCGGCGCATACCTGTAACAAAAACACAGACAAAATTACAACGGTCCAAAGGTACTCTCTGCTCAGACAAGTTTTGTGTTCGTCCAAAGCTTTACACAACCGCTACTGGTAGGTAGTAGCGCTACGAGAGAGGATAACCGGAAAATTACCATGCACCTACTTTCCTCTCTGCAGGACCACAAAGAGGTGGATAGTTTTCTTTACGTTTAAAATATCGGACAAAGGCAATAGGCTTCCGATATATTACAAGCCCGATTCCAGTTGAATCGACAGTCTTAGCAACGACGTCCCAGCACATTGATTTTGTCAGAGCCTCCATTGCTGGAAGAAACATGATCAATATCAAACTTAGATCAGCTCCACGTACATAGTACATTTTATTGCTGAAGTCTAAACTCTAAAGCTTCCATGAAATGCAGTCCAGTAAAGAAAACAGAAGTTGACTATAGGGATGAGTGAAAGAGAGAAACAGAGTTGGATTACGAACATTTCCATACACTTGTATCTCTTTCATTGTCGCGATAGACTGGCGTAGCAGACCATACGAAAAACCCCCCAGGCCGAAGAACCCTGTTGAGCTCCAGTAGCGGTTTCCCTCCTGCACTAACCAAAAACCGTCAAAATAACCGTAGAGAACAGGACACAGAATAGTGCATAACACTTCCAAACTCGATAGACAAAGTACCATTTGCATCCCAGTGAACCCGGCACCTTGCACAGTGAATCAAATCAAATGCATTGTCCGGAAATGTCAGCCTTTGCGTTCCAATCACTGAGAGAGTAGCAGGAATTCCCCTTTCCAGAGCAAACTGTATCTGAGCTTCGTGTTCATCTTTCGGGGCAAATGACATGGTAATGACATCTTTATCCAGCAAATAGCCGCCAAAGCTAGCAACACCGCAGCCAACGTCCAAAACAACCCTGACGTGCCTCCCCCATTCAATGACCGGTAAAGTCTAGAACGAAAACAAAGAGAAGCCAATCAACATTTCCAAAAGGAATGTAAACCCGAAAGCTGCCAAGCCGGCCAGCGCTGTACCTTTTCGATGAAATCGGTGTAGTGATCAACTCCATCCTTAAACTGAGTACCGCCTCCGGGGAAAATGAGATAGTCATCGGACTTCTTCACCCAGTTTTGGTCCTTCTTGTACTCGACGAGCTTCGGGTGAGGAACGTTGTCATACCATATCTAGAAACAGAGAACATCACCAATACATTATTGAGTGAATGTAAACAGAATAAGCCAACAAGCACTTCACATTTCCACAAACACTTTCCCAGAAAGGAAAATCATGATTTTTTTGTCTCGGAAAATTAAAGTCAATCCAACAACGAACCGAATCACCCATCTTCTTCATTCAAATCAACAAACCCATTTGAGAAAATCCAACAACAAACCATCACCCACCTTCTTGAAACAAATCAACAAAACCCATATGAGAAAAACCAGAAACAAATCTTACCAAAGTACAAATCTCACCATGTCCCTGCTCTGAGGCCACGGAACCGGCACCTTGTACCCTTTGGAAAGCGGCTCCAGGCACCGCGGCGGCGGCTGGGGGCAATGGCGCTCGCGGTGCTCCATATGCCGCCGCGACTTCAACGCCTTGATCGCCTTGGAATTGTCCAAGCACGGAATGTAATCGACGGCCACCGGACCCGTACAGAGGTTCCAATTGGGAATCCCAGAAACAGGGAAAGTGGGTTCCTCCCAAACGAGTTCGTCCCCTTGGGGCGGCTCTCCGGCGGGGTTGGAGGGCGCGGGAGGAGAGATGGGTTGGGAGGAGGAGGGGGAGGTCTGGAGATCGGAGTAGAAGAAGAGAGGGTAAGGGGCGTTGGTGGTGATGTTGGTGAAGAGGAGGACGGTGATGCAGGCGAGTGGGAGTAAGAGTGTGAAAACGAAAGGGAACTTTCGCTCTTTGAAAAAGCTGGGCACTGAGATTCCCATTGTTGTTGGTTGATAGCTCTGTGTGTAGAGAGAGAGAGGAGAGATAGGAGAGAGAGAGAGAGGGGGGGAGGTGTATTTATATGGAGTGGGGGGAGAAGGAGGTGATCGGGGGATTTGGAGATGGAGAGAGGAGTACGCGGTATTTTTACGAGGATTTTCGAAATGTCGTTAAGCGACGGAGACGCTCTCTGTCTCTCTGCAATTATTTTATTTATTTATATTTGGAACACCTCGTACGCAGAATTTAAATATAATAATCATTTTTGTTGTAGAATACTGGTGAGTGGTTTATATTTGGTAAACCCTGCACTTATTTGAAGATGCTTCTTTGAAAACAGTCATAAGTGCGTTGAAATTTCATCAAAAAAGTGCTTTTCAAGAAAGCACTTGAAAACATCTTTGCCAAATATTGTTAATAACTTAGGGTTTGTTTGACAAGTGTTTTTAAACGACTTAAAACGTTTTTAGATAAAATATTTTTGAAACGAAAACTTAGTAAAAATACAAGTTAATTCTGGAAAAGCACTTGAAGAACTTCCAGCAAAAAGCATATAATTGGTGCCTTAGCAAGAAGCACATAAAATGTTTTTAGAATCCAAAAATATTTTCTCTAAAAATGTTTTTAACTAGCCCTTAATAGTTAGTGATAGTGCCACATTAGTTTGGTTGTTAGTGCTTTGACACTTGTATATATGATGTCATGATTAGTTAGTTAATCAATCATAATAAGAAGTTGATTAATTAGTTTAAAACTAAGCATATTTATGAAAATATATTTAGTTACTAAATAGAGCCCACACACAACGTGGAAAATGGAGAGAGAACGTCGGGGTTTTTGTTTTTTTTTTCTTTCCTGAAAATGCTTATGCAATGACATGTGGGGTTAGGAAAGAGCAAAAAAAAAAAAAATGGGACTTTAACGAAAATCACTCGGTACTGTTCATTTTAACGAAAAACCATATTTTTACACTAAAAAGTCAATCCTGGTACTATTCACTTTACCCTTTATTTTGTCCTTATTATTAAAACTCAAAGTTTTCAAACCATTTTCATTAGTTTTCCTAAAAAAAAAATCTTTTTGTGCAAAATTACCTTCATGAATAGAAGACAAATCGTCTTTTTACCTTTTTTTTATTGATAAAAAAAAATTCTATTAATACAGTGTTATAGATTTGAAAGCATTTAGCTATTAAAAAAAGATTCTATTAATAGTGTTATAGATTTGAAAACACTTTAAAACATCTTGTTTGTGGCGAAATTTCAATTCAGTCGATGTAGAATTGATTCTCACAAATATTATCCTACAATACCAATTCCAGTCGAAGTGTCAATTCTTTGCGTTTAAAATATCTTATTTGAATTTTTTTTTAATTTCCCAATCCATTGATTGTTAAGGAGGAGTTTCTCCTCAAAATACTTCGTATCTATTCACAGAATTTCGTACTTATGATTGAAACCACTCATATTATAAATCACTCTGTAAATATCATCTCTGCAAAAAATCAATTAAACTAAGATGGTTTAGTCAACCAAATATAACAAATAGATAGACAGTTCATAATACTTTAACCAAATTCATCATTTTATTTTTATACAGTTCGATAACTAAATAATCTTAACTTTAATTCATTTTTTTTGTACATGTAAACTTTGAATAATTATTTATAATTGATTTTTTTTGTAAAGTTAAACTTTAAATAGTAATTTATAATATAAATAATTCAAATCATAGACTCGAGATTTTGTAAATAAACCACAAGATATCTTAAAAAGGAGTCCTTCCTCGATTTTTGAGGAACCAAGTCTTTACATCGATTAAAAAAAGAGAATTGCAGGCAGTTATTTCTATTTTATTTATTTTTGAAGGCTAAAATCATGTACTCATGTGTGTAGCACTATTACAATTCAATAAACTAAAAGTTGCCCTCCCAAAAATTTACGTGATTAGCAATTATCGAATCTTTACAGATAAAAAAATAAATTTAAAAAAAAATCATAGTTTTGGTGTTTATACCCACAAAAGTCAATGAAATTGTTTGGAAAACTTTCGGCGATTTGGTTTTGACGACAAATATTTCTTTTGATAGTTTGAAAAAATTGACGAGATACAAGGTCAATGAAATTGTTTGAAAAAAAAACTTTCGGCGATTTGGAAATTGGATGACAATTTTTTTTTTTCTCAAAACAAAAACTTAACTAGTAAATATGATGACCACGGGCACATTATGAATGTGCATCGTCATTGGCTAGAAAATTTGTTTCTCTAAACACATGCCTCCAAAAGAGAGCGAATAGAATTTGTGAGCCATCTAATATCCTCAATAATATTCTTGAGTATCCATGGTATTAAACAACGGAAGAGGCTCCTCTCCGGATTCACTTTGTGGGAGGATCCTCACATTTTAACCGTTCATCGTATATCGTATAGACAGCTTTCGTCAGATACTATTTCTATTTAATTTTAAATGAAAAAAATCAAATGATTTCTAACAGCACAATGCACGATGAATGACTAAGATGTGAGGATCAACGATCTTCAAAATGCAAAAAGTCATGTAATTTCTGATAGCACGATGTATTATTTGTTTGCTCACAGGTGATATATCAGAGGACCAACAATCTTCAAAATGCTCAAACGTACAAACAAGGTGAGCAAACAAATATAAGCAGGAGGGGCACAAAACTTTCTCCATTACTGCTTTAGACGCCGAACTAATAACGGTATCATGCATCCTCATTCCTCCACGAAAACTCGGCTCAGTTTGGTAAATTGCCGAATATCTCGATGATACAATACTTCGAAATTGGTTTTATACAACTGTTAATAAAACAAGAGTGCAAAATAATCAAAAGGGAACTTGCATGATGGAAACGGTGTCAAGCCACTATATCTAATCCACATTTTTTTCAATCTAATATGGCAGGTCCTCCGTCGATGTTAACTTCTCCCATTCCGGTGTCTTCTTCCTCCTCACTACCCTCATCACCGCTAACCTCCTCATTCTCCTGGCGAAGCTTACTCATGTGCTCAGCAAGTAGTTTATCATCCCGTTCACTCACCTACACCAGTACACCATATTAGACCCAGAAATAAATAAGTTTCCACGGCAAGTCAATCGAGATTGCTATGGATAAGAAATAAAATGGTACGATTGTTCAGACAAAAAGCAAGTTCTGGAGGTTCTGAACTAAAATATTTCAAGAAGTCAAATTCGAATGGATATCGAAAACAGACGGCAAAACCAAGATTAGTTGTAAAATGACAAAACATGATGAATAGGGTGGACCACTCACCACTCTGGGTGCTTCCTTCACTGTTAGTTTCCCCTTGTGATGTTCAATTTCTTGTGTGCACGCTACAATTGCATTGGTTAGAACTGATATGCCTTGCTCCTGCCCAACCCAGAACAGAATTTATAAAACTTTTTAGCTAAGTAGCTAGTGACAACTCTACCATCATATTTCACAACTGTCTGCAGGAAGGTCAACAGAAACCATGTGCTACAGTTCCAGCTTCCAAAAGTATATAGTATCGTCAGAAGAGAAGTTGTAACTAATGCTGTATCGATGCAGGATGTGCATAAATTGATAATATAAATCCAGCAATATTTCAGAACCAAAACGCTACGAGGAAACTAAAATAAGTGCTAGAATGGCAAGGTCAAATTATACCATTGCCAAATTTAAAGTTCAAACTGAAGCTACACACTATTATGCATCGGTTGGCCACAAGAAAGATTAAATCGTGGATATATGACACAAATGCAGAAAACAAAAATATGTAGGAATAGGCTGTGATCCATTAACAGCCATCAGATGATATCTTAACCAACTCAAATTCGAAGGTTCGAGGTACAAAATTTGAAGATCTACTTTTTTACAACAAGAGTGTTCAGGCTCAGAACTTTAATGTTCCTTTTTTGCCAGACAGGGTAACGAACATTTAAACCCTGAATCAAAACACTAGCTTATTCCCAACAGCATGACATACAATGTAGTCTATATAGACATAGCAGAAGACATTATTGGCATGCCACTATACAGCTTCGTGTGGTAATCTAGATTTCTGCATGGTAATTGTTTAATTGTAAAAAGAATTGATCAAATCAAGACCAAATTAGAATTTGAGCAGACCTTATCAAGAGTCTGTGTGGTAAGAACATAAAGTGGAGGAGCAACCAGTTTAATTTTCACAGGACAGTCATTATTGCCCACAGCTTCCGCTTTCCTCATGGCATCCTGCAGAATACAATGTCTAAAATCAAAATCCCGCCAAAAATAGAAAACACCATGAAAGAAAAATAAGGGGAGGTCACAGAGAACCTTAATGTGAAGAACACCATCAAATTGGAAGCATTTCATTTCAATATCAGCTCGGATCTTCAATGGTTGTGGAGTCATTCTTCTCCTAATATTCTTCACCAGAGATTCTTTAATTTCCTCTGACACAGCAGGAACCACCTTAGTGACCTACAAATTCAGATGCAAGGAAGCATGACACCTCTATATATGCGATATAAACAGGAGAATATGAGGCATAAACCTCAAGCAAAAAGGCATTACCTCTTGTCCATCAGGGCCAACCTCTTTGACCTCACGTGTGAGGGTGCTAAGAACTGAATCAGGATCAGTCACAACTATTTTGAAAGCCTGCAAAAAGTAATAATTTCATGTTTATTACCGAAAATCAACACCACAAACAGACATTGAAACAACGGTAAACATCCTCACCTCAAAAGCATGACCATACTTCCGATATAACGGCCAGCCAATATTGACATACAAGTCCTGTAACAAGTAATGTAAAGTAGTAATAAGTTAATATCCTACGAAACAAAATGAATAACAAACAATAAAAAGTAATCACTATAGTCAATCAATAACACATTTGATCTTACGCCATCGATTTTGCTTAGCACCGAGAAAGTACATAAATTTAAAGGAACTGGATGCAGCTATCATTTACAAAATCCCAATTAACAATAACACAATATACATAGCTTTATAATTCTGCATAAAAAGTCTAACTTTCTTCCCCCGAACATACAATTCTCACAAAATTCTCAGAACCCAAAACATCACAAAACCCCAACAATCGAAATTGAAACAAAATTACCTCCAAATCAATCCCCAAAGTCTCACCCACGTGGCGCATGATGGAGTGGACG